TAATTTTGTTTCAGCGACATATTTTATTGCTGTATAATGCCCAACCAAGTTATGGCATTGCGAAATTTATCGGGGAAACATTTTTAATTACCTATTAAATATAAATGATGGAAAAAAGATTATTAATTATAATAATCTTGAAAATAAAAAAAAATAATAACGAGTCCACTCCTTTCCTTAACAGTATAGTAATATAAGCGGAAACTATATACTTGTCAAATTCGAATTTTAAAATATTATTTTTTAAGTTATATCTTAGAACATGGAATGGAATGAGTAGAAAATATCTAATTGTTTTACCAAGTTAACTCATACTAGATAAATATGGCATACCATTACCATTACCATATTAAATGGTTACCGTTGCCTATGAACGCCTAAAACAGTGGTATGTACATGCGCGTTGCCGACCCTTAAGAAAACTTAATATAACCTTCTTAAAAAACACCCAGCTGTAGTCTCGTGAGAAAACCTCGGCAGGTAGCTCATATTTAATTAATTAATTTATTTATTTGAAACCAACAGCATACACAATACTTAAAAACAGAAAGTACAAACCAATAGTACAGCTAATAATAGGTTTCACAATATCTGTAAAAAAATATAACAAAGTGACGGACTTCACAGAAAAGATAACAGGAATACATTCCGAGGTTTCAGAAATGACCTAGGCCGCGTAATATGGGAGTTCATAATTCGCAGCACACGTCAGAAAAAAAAAACTTCTTTCCTTAGGTATAATTAAACTCCACTATAAGTGTGCGAAATTTCATACTCCGTCCTCGCAATTTTCGTAAAAAGGGGCACCTAGTTCTTACTTCATGTATTAATATATAGATTTAATTCCATTGAAAGTTTAATAATGGCGAGAGTGCACAATTCAGCATATTTCACAATTTATCTACTAACTAAGCGGGTGTATCGACAATAGGTCCCGGCCGAATATGGATGTAATTGGGAATCTCCTATTGCCCATTATACTGTGCATGTACGAGTTAGTGCTTTGACAAATGCATCGGATATTTTATGTCAACGGCAGCAGTAACGAGTTTTATCTACGTACAATAATATTTCACGCTATCTCCCAAGTTGGGATGGAAAATTCTATAATTGCAACAAAATATTCATGATTTATCCAGTTGGATATGGGATATATAGGACTTTAATAGTAGTAATAGCATTGTAATTATTTGTGAGGGAATTTATAATAAGTAGTGGTCGCCAAGGGATCGAAATTCGACTATTATTAATTTAATTTATAAGTTTGAATATTATGAAAGTTTTATATCCAAGATATATAAAGATAAATAATATTAATATATTCTCAATTTGACTACAGACTATACAAGAATAGCAGAAACTTTGTAGTTCTTTTTATAAATATTACGCGGAATTATTGAGAGGACTCGGAGGAGTATGAATTTTTGCACACATAAAGTTTTTATATATATATATATATTATTACTATAAGGAGTGGATATGCATTTTTTTAAATCTAAATATATATAACTCAAAGGTGACTGACTGACATAGTGATCTATAAACCCACAGCCCATACCACTGGACGGATTGAGCTGAAATATGGCATGCAGGTAGATGTTATGACGTAGGCATCCGATAAGAAAGGATTTTGATTAATTCTACCCCCAATGGCTTAAAATAGGGGGTGAAAGTTTGTATGAAACTTTGTCAATTTTAAACCGATCGGACTGAGATTTTGCATGCACAGCTACTATGACGTAGGCATCCCCTAAGAAAGGATTTCAATAAATTCGACCCCTAAGGGAATAAATTAACGCGAATATGTATATAACATTAATATTACACACACTACCATGTAATTGACATTAGAACTTTACTAATATTTAAATTAAATTATTTATGATCGAATTTCGACTATTGAACGATCACTAGTCACAATAAATTTATAAACTAAATTCTATACATGTATTAAGTAATGAGATGAATTTATCAAAGCAAATTAAATATTTATTGGTACTTGGCTTTAACATCTTGTAAGAGATTTTTTTTTTTATCTCAGGACAATTCACACAGCGCCATCTAGACCCACGTTAAGCTACCTAAAGCTTGTGTTATGGGTACTAGATAACTTATACAAGTACATATATTTTTTTTCGTAAATACATACATATTATACATGGAAAACACCCAGACCGATACAAACAATCATACTCATGAATACAAATGTTTGTGCCGTGCGAGGAATCGAACCCGCGACCATCGGACGTAAAGCGGTGTGCTAGACCGCTATACCACCGAGGTCGTCGTCATTTGATGTGAAAATAGGTTTTAGTTTTTTAGTTTAGGAGGCTTTCTTTTATATATCGTAACAAAATGACGGATTAGAGAGTACAGCGCCATATTTCCCACTTGGCCGCTCCGTGACTTCGAACCCGCGACCATATTAGGCATCCGCTTGCTACCTATTCAGTGTTCAGTGACAATTAAACCACTGGCTCTGGCTAGTGAGATCACGAGCGCTATTAGCATGTATGTTCACTTATTTTATTGGTCACTTTTATTTTGTTAGACTTGGCGTTACAGGTGCCGTGCCCTCAGTTAGTAACTAACTACTAATCTTACTAATAATTTGGCGGCCTCGGTGGTCTAGCAGTTTAACACACCGCTTTACTTCCGATGGTCGCGGGTTCGATTCCTCACACAAACATTTGTATTCATGAATATGATTGTTTATATTGGTCTGGATGTATTCTATATAGGCATAATGTGTATGTATTTACGGAAAAAAAATCTATGTATTTGAATCAGTTGTCTAGTACCCATAACCAGGGCCGCGCTAGGGTCCTCAGCGCCTGATATTTTTTAATGAAAGATGATTAAAAAAAATCATAAAAATCGGTCAAGTGGTTTCGGAGGAGTATGGTGACTAACATTGTGTCACGAGAATTTTATATATAAGATAGCTTGTACACCAGAATTCTATTCTATTCTATTCTTCTTCTAATTATATATATATATATATTATAGGCTAGAAATTTCAAGTGTGTGAAACCGCGGTCACAGCTAGTTTAAAATAAGTTCCAGGTGGTTCTTTTTATGACATAAAAAAACCTTTCAACATTCAACAACCCGTATTGAATATGTAATTGCTGTCTCACTACACGTTTATAATCATAAAACTATACTACCATATGCTATTAATTAACATTTTACAACATATAATTCAATTGGTTGTTGCTTGACAAACAAAATGGCTGACATTCAAACCAATATTAGGTATACTAAAATTTTTAAAGTATTAGGTATACTAAAATTGAGTCAGTAGAGTCTCACAAGGAGTAGGTCTTAAGATGAACATTGACAAGATGAAAATAGTGTCAAACGTCCATGTCGTACCTGCTCCCGTAAAAATCGGAGATTTTACACTCGAAATTGTCGATCACTATCCAGCTAGGTAGATCCAATTTCGAGAAAGAGGTCAATCAAATCCAACTCGGATGGGCAGCGTTCGGGAAGCTCCGATATATCTTTTCGTCCAAATTTCCGCGTGACCGACATAACCCCAAGAATTGCGACTCTGAAGTGGCAATGTGCAGGGGACATAGCTCGTAGGACAGATGGCCGTTGGGGCAGTAAAGTCCTCGAGTGGCGACCACGGACCGGAAGACGCAGCGCGGGAAGGCCTCCAGCAAGGTGGACCGACGATCTGGTCAAGATCGCTGGAAGGCATTGGATGCGAGCAGCGCAGGACCGATCGTTGCGGAGATCTTTGGGGGAGACCTTTGTCCAGCAGTGGCCGTCTTCTGGGCTGCGATGATGATGATGACGATACTAAAATTGTAAACTCAGCTATACTAGCTGAGTTTTCTTTTCAAATAAATGTTACAGATAACATTTATTATCATAATATGACCTTATATCCTATTTTCTTTTATTACCCTCTAAACCACTCGCTTACAATATTAAAAAAAAATCTCTTCTTTTATGATTTCCTACTATGGACTGTATAGTTGCATACGCAAAAACTACTGATCGGATTTTGATGAAACTTTACAGTAATGTAGCTTAGACACCAGAAAAACTCATTGAAATTTAACGCGGATGAAATCGCGAGCACAACTATTTTATTATAAATATAAACAGTCCAGTACGAAGTCAGTTAAATTATAATAAAATAATAATTATAAACAACAATAAATCGTACAGTGATATTATATTTTAATTACAAACAAACAAATATCAATTATCTCAGTATCACATAAAACGTACGCAGGATTCAATTTATAAATGTTTTATTACATAATAATCATTGCTTCAATAAACTCGAACGGACATCGACAGTCATTAGAGGCAGATAAACCTCGATTCTACCATGATTCTTTCTCTGACTTGCGAGAGAGGAGTAAAAAATTTTACTGCGCTTAATGCAAGGGTTTCGATATTTGCAGCAACATGCGAAATTCATTATTAGTGAGGTACAAACATGTGTTTATTTGTGATATTCCACCTCTTATTATTTATACAGTAAGCGAAATCAATAAAGGTTTAGCACACTGCTTTACTTCCAATGGTGGGATATAATTTGACAATCTATACATCTATATATATAAATAAAATTGGAGTGTCTGTTTGTGAATATTGAAATAACTGTTTGTTTCTACATGCATATGTTTACATCTCAATATCCATAAAGCTATGTTGCCATTGACTGATCACTATGAGTGATTTGTTTTGTTAGTAACATTTGTTCTGTACTAATACTAGCTTAGCCGCGATACTTACTTGACATTTATGATTATATTTCGCCTAGTTTGCATAATATATACAGATAAATAAAATTAGAGTGTCTGTTTGTAATATAGAAATAACTGTTTTTTATTACATACATGTGAATATAAATACGGTACGGTACATACACCAAAATAACATTTTTTACAATTTTTATCTGTTGTCTGTTTGTTTGTTCCGGGTAATCTCTGAAATGGCGGGACCGATTTCGACGGGACTTTTTATGGCAGGTAGCTGATGTAATAAGGAATAACTTAGGCTACTTTTATTTTAGAAAAAATCTCTAATTAACTTTTTTGTTCAATTCCACGCAGACGAAGTCGCGAGTACAGCTAGTATAGAATAATATTTAATTGAATAAGTATATTTTGCTATTTTACTACATAATGGATTTATATTATTTTATCAAATTCCCTTAACAATTACCATGTGTAAGACTACAAATATTCAGTGTGACTACCGTTACGACCTTCTCTAATGGTTATCAAATTCCGAAGGTTATTGAGTCTACACCCATATTGCGACACGTGTTTCGCCTCTGTACAAGGCATTATCAGGCGTTGAAAAGAGTTCACGTATAGCTAGGAAGCCTAGTGTTGACTGTTCGGCGGTTTGGTCGCCGAACTATCAACACTAGACTTGATCGCCATTAGAGAAGGTCGTAACCAAGTTGGAACCACATAGAATAATATATGTGATCGCTCACATATAGAATAATATATAAAGTATGGTTGAGTGCAATGATGGCTGGCTCATCCGTCATACTTGTGAACGGGTGCTGCTTGTGGGGACTGGTCTGTTCAGGTTGTGAACACTGATTAAGTTTTTTGTTCTTTGTATCGCAATGCATATGTTGGTGGTCACTCTATTCTATCCTAATTTTGAATTTTAATGACTGTGTATTATTATAAACATGTTCCACTATTATATTGAAAATAAATACGAGCTGAGTGTCTTGTCAGTCCTTCTCATCTCGATATCATTCCGAACTGATGGTAGATTTGACATATCATAAGAGTCTGTAATGGATCTACAATAATCTATATGAATAAAGATATTTTGAATTTGAATTTGAATTTGATTTTTTTTTTTGCGGTAGCAAATTAATTTCTAATAATAATAATATAATTAATAGTTTATAATGTTGAGATTAGTACAAAATTAGTATCATTTCTCTTTTGATTTTATTTGATTCAAAATTATTAGTTGCAACAGTGTGCGTTGATGTCTTTTGTATGAATAACAATCACGACCTTGGTTGGACGATGGATGCGGGTTCGATTCCTCGCACGATGCAAACATTTGTATTTATAAGAATGATTATTTTATCTGTCTGGGTGTTTCGTATATTATGTATGTATCTATACCCCCATTTATACCTCCTCCTTCCATGCTTTCGTAAACATTTTTATCGTAATTACTGTTGGCGACCGACCGACGAACTCTTTTGATATTTTTATTATTATAAAATTTATATTTTTGAAGAGTTCTTTTTTATATGTCATGTCATAATACAATAAATTGAAGTATATCAAATAGATATACTTCAATTTATTGTATTATTCTCTTATTGTCTTTGTTTATAGTTCGCAATTGCACATATTAATATATTACATTAATAATGAGTGCGTAGCGACTTCTATGTTGATTATCGCATTCCTCTTACTTGTTATATAATATTTATATAAAAAAAAACATCTATTAAAAAGAGCAACACACAAGTTTCTTGCTCATTCTTCTTGTGATGAATCTGCATTCCGAATGAGTGGTAGAATCAAAATATGACTATTCAAAAGTGCTTGTAATGAGTTTATTTGTATAAAGATTATTTCTATTTCTATTCTATTTCTATTATATTATTGCAAACTACGTGTTTTCATCATTTAGACACCCATACAGTCTACCGATCCATTACAATTAATGTATTGTATTTTAGTAATGTAAGGGTTGCTATTCGTGTAAAAAAGTAAATAACTATCGATGACGTAATCATCATCTAGACTCGCCTGCCCCCCATGTCATCCAAAATAAAGTTTAACACACCGCTTTACTTCCGATGGTCGCGGGTTCGATTCCTCACACAAACATTTGTATTCATGAATATGATTGTTTATATTGGTCTGGATGTATTCTATATAGGCATAATGTGTATGTATATACGGTACTATTCGTGTGTAAATAACTATCGATGACGTAATCATCATCTAGACTCGCCTGCCCCCCATGTCATCCAAAATAAAGTGTGTGAATACTTGAACGGTCCCTAACGCGTTCTAAAATATATAAAATTGCGTTGGCTATTTTAATGGCTATGAAATAGCCAATGCAATTTAAAAAACACTTCAAAAATAGTGACTACCTACCAGACAAAATCACACGCGTATCTAGCCCTATTAAAATCTAGTTAAAATCTAGACTGAAGTGTTATTGGAAACTGTGCCGTCATTGTGTGACTCAGCGCGTGCGTGTTATAAAGTCTGACAACCGGAATTGAACTTTCTTGTTACTGTTTACAGTTCATATTTATTTGGTTAATTTGGAGTGAAGTCATTGGTTGAGTGGTTATTACGCCTTTTTCCTTGTTCAAACTAGGGTTGGTGATTTCAAAGAAATGTAAAGTAATATATATTTTTTTAATTTATTGAATCATAGACATTGAAATGAAATAAAGCACCAAGAGTGTTTTTTAAATAACAATCTATAATTATTTACTAAGGTCAAAAATGTTTTTTTTTTAATAAAATGAATATATTTTTTTTTTTTTATGTCTCTTACTTTTTAAGATTTCCTTTAATATCCCAATAATATACACATATACGATCTGTGTCCGCTGTTTCATCCACAGGATATTTATAGCCTATTTATTCTGATGTATAAGCTATATTACTGAAAATTTTATCTAAAATTAGTTCAGTAGTTTTTGCGTGAAAGACTAAGAAACACCCATCCATCTATCCGTCCATACCCACAACTTTCGCGTTTATAATATTAGTAAGATAGTACATACTATCTTTTCACAATGCATCAATTAGACTTATTCATTTCATTTACATTAATGTAATATTATGGTGATGATGATGATGAAATCCCGGCCGATTTCGTCCATGGCAACTGTCTTCAACTCCGGTTTTGCCGTTGATGTGCTCGCATGTGACTTTGTAGCCAACTTTGTAAAAATCCTCACACTTTGCGGACATGAGAGCACACCGCTCATATTATTATGGCTGATATTTTATATATTATACATATATATTATATATATGGTTGGGCTTTCAGCTCGTCGCGTTTGGCATCCAGGTCAAGGAGCTGCCGGGTTTCAAAGACTGACGCTAGATTTAACAAGCGCTCTCCACTCCGGCCGTCGGCAGAGTTTTTTTTTTATACTACGATGGTGGCAATCCAGTATACGGCCCATCTGGTGGTAAATGGTTACCGTAGCCTATGAGCGCCTGAAACACCAGGGGTATCACTTGCACGTTGCCGACTCTAACCTGCCTGTAGCCTGCTGCTCCCACAGCGAAGTAATATTATACTAGTACATTAGTCCTACTATAGCTATACTAACTAAGAATTTACTTACAAAACATTAACTCTATCCCTTCAAACGTATCCCATCATAGTAATTAGTCTTCTTAATTTTAGTAATAAAAACAATTTTCCCGTGGTAAAACTAATACAGACATTACTATTTTCTTTGCAATTTGTCCGGTACCATGCAATCTAAATTGAACTTAACTGTAAATGAGTTGATGGTAGAACGTTAAAACCTAATTACTGAGTTAGAATTACTCCATTTCCTTGTATTACTTTTATGTTTATAATTATGTCAGCTCGAAGTTTAATCATAGTGTTATTGGATTTTCCTATTTAAATAGTACAATAGTTGATTTCTCCCTTTTTTTTCTTTGGTATTTATTGTTCCTCTCACAGAAAATACAGTTACATAATTGTATATAAAAAATAAATAAAAACCTATATAAAATCATAAAAAAAACCACAGTAATAAGCAAGAGAAAGAGCCATCTCTTTCTCTTGCTTATTACCTATAAAAAATAATTATAAAAAGCCACCCATGTGGCTTTTTATAATTATTTTTTTAGGACCATAAAATTAAAATATGAAATTGGTATTATTATTTTTATACTAACTGTACCCGCATCTTCGCTTGATATTTTTAGCATATGTGTTATTCTGAGTTATAAGATATACTACTGTAAAGTTTCATCAAAATCTGTTCAGTAATTTTTGTGTGAAAGAATAGAATAGAATAGAAAATCATTTATTCAAATAAACTTAATCTAAGCAGTTTTGAATAGTCAACATTTTTTTTAAATCTACCGCTTATTCGGAAAGCTGTCTCATCACAAGAAGAATAAGCAAGAAACTTGTGTGTTGCTCTTTTAAACAAATCCTTGTAAGTTTACATTTTACAAGTCGAAACATGTGAATATTACTACATACTACGTGGAGTAATAAACATCCATCCAAAAATCCAATAAATAAACTTTCGCAATTATAATATTAAAAAGATAAGTTTTGACAACCCTAATGTTTTATAAGCTCGAGATAGTGCTTAATGGTTGGTGCTGTAATTTCGGTGGTGGAAGATGGTGGGGGAGGTAATTATGGACTTGAATCATTGTCGGTGTAATCCTATGACCGAAATTGAAAAAATGATATTTCGATTTGTTTAGTGGCTGACTACGTGTTCCCTGCCTCAACATTTAACACTACCGGGCTTTGAGAATAAAGCAGATTATTATTGTATATTATTATATTATTACTGTCCTGGTAAATGTTGTTTTGCCATATATGTGTGTAAATTTAAGTACTAATATCGCTAAAAAATAGGAGTTGGTGGTAGAAGGGTGAAAATTTAAAGCTGTATGTATTTTTACCACATAATAAAAAATTAAAAATAAAACATGCTATCGAAAAAAAAATTGGATTCAGCCACCCTTAACATTTATGGTTATACTTTTCTATTCTCAGACCTACTGAATATACATATAAAATTTCATCAAATTCAGTCAAGCCGTTTTGGATTAGTATAACCTGTGATACGGGAATTTTATATATTGGATTAGATTAACTAGTCGCCTGGGTTCGCACTTGTATGTATTATACGTATAAACTCTCATTATACATATAAACCCTCTGTTTGAAACCTTTTTTGTACATAAATATTTAAAAACATTATAAAAACAATTGAAATATATTCGATAGAAGTTAAAAATACATAAGTAAAAATAATAATAAACTTACCGTCATTACCCAAAACATTAGAAGTGTCCAGAAAAATTTCTCTCAGATGGAGGTAT